GCTGCAAAGTAATGGTAATCAAGTAATGTGAAAATTCTGGGATCAGAGGTGCCACTTACCTTATGACAGCCAAGACGATGGGCTGAGATAAAAATGAAGATGACATAGCACACAAAATGGGAGAGAGAGGGGGGGAAAGGGAGATGGAGATGGAGGGAGAGGGAGGATGACAGAGGGGAAGTGTCACATCGCAGGGAAACGCAGTAAGGGAAAAAACATGCCACTGACTGGGGGGGATTTATATACTTGAGTCTTATGTACTGTTGTTTGGCCACAGTCCAACTAGTGAGGTCACCGTCAATGTCACGTTCTTGGCCTCAGTGCATGTTCAGTTGCCATGAGTGCCGGCAACTTCCTCTGAGTCAGTACTGCGTGTCATACTATACATCACGAATAGCGATGTCACGTGACTCCACTGTCACCGGATTCAGCTTCTATATACTAAATACTAAATGTTCGCTTGACATTCTCGTAATTGCATTGTTGAGCCGAGCAAGCACTCCCTCATGCCATTGGCTGAGTGGTAGTGGTGGCTTACCCTTGGGATTTCACAGAAAATGTATTGTAGTAGCACTACCGGATCATTTAATACATGTAGTCACTTATTGAAACCAGAAATCAGCCTAGTGGCGACTGACCACTCCATATATAGTCCTACGTAATGTTCCAGAGACACATCCAAAGTATGGGTAGACACATGTGATAATCATGACAGCTGTGACATTGTTCATGTCACAATTAAGGTTGTGTCCAAGATTATCATAGGTCTCACTACGTGACCTGTCCAAAATCGAGATCTGTGCATCCGAGTATCTGGATTGACATGGTCTTTTGCTCCTCTCCTCTTGCCACACAGTGTCTCCCTCACATCATGCCACATCTCCCTTCAAAAAAAAAACAAAAAAGGTATGTTGTCGAACCTCTCATGGCTTCAACACTCACATCACACACCAGGACGCTGCCATTCTTCTCAGTCTATTGTGCCTTGTTCAGTGTCCCATACTATTCACAAAGCCCATTCATTCAAAAAGAAGGTAAGTAGCTCGCAGCGTCCCTCTACAACTCACAAAACACCCCCCCCTCTCGCTGGGTCTCATCCCAGTGCGTGGCATCTCTCTACCACTCACAGAACACCCTCTCGCCTTGTCTCATCCACAAAACAGGTATGTCGTCCTACTTCCTGGTGTCCCTCTACCACTCACAAAACACCCCCTTGCCATGCTTATCCAAAAAAAAGGTATGTCGTCCCAACTTCGCGGCGTCCCTCTACAACTCACAGAACACCCCCTCGCCGTGCCTTATCAAAAAAACAAAAGGTAAGTCGTCCCAGGTTGTGGCATCCCTCTACCACTCACAGAACACCCCCTCGCTGTGCTCATCCAAAAAAAAGGTATGTCATCCCAGCTTTGCAGTGTCCCTCTACAACTCACAGAACACCCCCTCACCGTGCCTTATCCAAAAAAAAGGTAAGTCATCCCAGGTCACAGCGTCCCTCTACCACTCACAGAACACCTCCTCACCATGCCTCATCCAAAAAAAGGTATGTCGTCCCAGCTCACGGCATCCCTCTACCACTCACAAAACACCCACAGAACACCCCCTTGCCGTGCCTTATCAAAAAACAAAAGGTAAGTTGTCCCAGGTTGCAGCATCCCTCTACCACTCACAGAACACCCCCTCACTGTGCTCATCCAAAAAAAAAAGGTATGTCGTCCCAGCTTCACAGCATCCCTCTACAACTCACAGAACACCCCCTCACTGTGCCTCATCCAAAAAAAAGGTACATTGTCCCAGCTCACGCAGCATCCCTCTACAACTCACAAAACACCCACAGACCACCCCCTCACCATGCTCATCCAAAAAAAAAGGTGTGTTGTCCCAGCTTCGCAGCATCCCTCTACAACTCACAGAACACCCCCTTGCCATGCTCATCCAAAAAAAAAGGTATGTCGTCCCAGCTTTGCAGCATCCCTCTACCACTCACAGAACACCCCCTTGCCGTGCTCATCCAAAAAAAAAAAGGTATGTTGTCCCAGCTTTGCAGCATCCCTCTACAACTCACAGAACACCCCTTCGCTGTGCCTCATCCAAAAAAAAGGTATGTCGTCCCAGCTCGCGCAGTGTCCCTCTACAACTCACAAAACACCCACAGAACACCCCCTCACTGTGCTCATCCAAAAAAAAAGGTGTGTTGTCCCAGCTTCGCAGCGTCCCTCTACAACTCACAGAACACCCCCTTGCCGTGCCTTATCAAAAAAAAAAGGTATGTCATCCCAGGTCATGGCATCCCTCTACCACTCACAGAACACCCCCTTGCTGTGTCTCATCCTACAAAAGGTATGTTGTCCCAGTTCCTGGTGTCCCTGTACCACTCACAAAACACACTAGTAGACTATCAATTCATATCTCCCTCCTGCCACACTGCATCTCCCTTGCTGTGTCTCATCCAATAAGGTATGTTGTTGGACTTCTACTTCATGGTGTCCAGATGATACTTACATATCACCCTCTTTGGTCTGCTTATCCAGTGCCCAGTGTTGTGTAGTTGCATACATTGGCTTCTCTTTTCCATAAATATGTAGATATCTATCCCTGCTGCATGATATATGTACTAAACTAAATGCATTTATTGTTATCTTACTGCTTGTCCCCTACACCTTCTGTGTCTTGTAAAGATAATAAGGTATGCTACTGTTCCCTTCTGTGTCATATGTTGCTGCCACTCACTAATGTTGGCATAATAGACTCAGATGGTGAAGACCAAGCAGACAGCTAAGAAGACCACTGGGGGTAGAGCTCCCAGGGTATCTCTTGCTGGTCTGAAAGCTAGGGAAAAACATGCTGCCAAGTCAAGCAAGGCCCATGCTAGGAAGGCCCCTGTTGCCAAGAAGAGAAGGATGAGGAACTTGGCAAGTCTCTTTTTATATTCCATCCATCTTTCTAACATTCTATGCAGTTCTGTGTGATGTGCAGGGATGGAGGGACATTGTGGCCTTGTGATCAGGCAGGTTGCAGAAGGGTAGTGTGTAACAAGTGTGTTGTAGTACCTGAGGATTGCCTTGCAGAGGTCACCCAGCTTCCTGTGACCTTCAGGTGTGTTAACCTCCCTTTTATGAATTAATTCCATTGACTCAAACTCTGGATGAACTTCAGGTGTGTTTCCTGTCATTGGAAAATGACAAGATTTGAAAGTCCTCAGCCCTATTTTGTAAGTGCATATTGCCACCCCAATCACTTCTAACTCCAAGTACAGGGCTTCTACTTGTCAGGCAAGCCAGTCCTGAAACACCCTCTTGTGGTCATTGGGGGGTTTGAGCATGCCACCACCTCTGAAGTGGCTGGTAACTCTACTGCCATTATCCACCTCCACCTTGAGTCTCTAGAGCTTGGCCATGCCCCTGTGCATATCCTTCACACCATGTTGCAGGGATATTTCAGACAAGACACCTACCACTTCTCACAACTGCCCTTCAACTTTGCCACTGAGGAGTCCAGAGCTGCCTATGACACTGCAGCATCAAAGCTAGCTTCAAGTCTGACTACCTTTGCTAAGGTAGTCATTTTCCTTACTACCCATACTGATGAAGACAGGGGGGATCTGTTCTCTGGAATGGAGAATAAGGTTCCAATAGCCACAGAGGTCTTTGAGGTAAGTCACCATTGTTTGACTGTCACTCCCATCTGACCAGTTGCAGTTTCTGCAAGGCCTTCTGTTACCCCTCTCCAACATTGTCAAGGGTGGAGACCTCATCTTCTTTGTATGTGGTTCTACTGTAAGGAAGGAGCAGAGCTTCCAAGGACTGAAGGCAGCTGTGCAACAGTAGGTTTTCTTTCAATGTTGGTGGTTATGGCTGACACCATATCAGTTTCAAGCCAAGGTCCATGTTGCTTTTTGATGCTGAGAGACTTCAACTAGTCACCACCATTCCCTTCCTCATGAGTGTCCTTGACTCCACCCTTGTTCAAGGCTTCCATGTCCAAAGTGCAGTCAGGTATGCCCTGAATGACTGTGGTATGTTGGGTAGGCACTCCAACATCATCCTGATGTTGTGGCAGGAGAAGGTAGTGGTAGAGAAATTTGTCTGGACTGACAAGTTCATCAGGCCTTGGGGACAACAATTGCCTGCCCAGTGCCCTCAATGTTATAGCATTCAGAAGTGGGAAGCTGGTTGTTCAGGGCAGACTTATTCCTATGAGTGCAAGAATCCTGGCTGTGGGAAGGACACACAAGGCACATCTCAGCCTCCCCAAACCTATACTATCTGCATGTCCAAAGGGGCTACCAAACTGACACAGGGAAAGGGGCAAACATCATCCTGACTGTTGGAATCTTTGTAAAATACCCTACCTTGATACATATGATATGCATGTACTACAATCAAAAATAGCTGCTTTGTGTTTTCAAATTTCATATGACATTGAATGTTCAGAAAAAAAAGTAATTTCCTGCAGGACAATTCCTCCTTAAGTACTGATACACAACTGAGTAAATTTGCCCAATGTTAATTCCAATACAATGGCCAGATTGGTAGAGTTAACTTCAATACCACAGGATAAGGATAGGATATAGGATTTTTCCACAACCATGTGGGTTCAGCCAGCTAACTACCAAGGAAGTAGTGTACTGAGTAATAAGATTGGCCAGCCCCACTAACCCACTAGCAAGATATTGGTCTTTCTTGCAAAGTGTCTGCCCAACCACAACTCCAGGTCATGGTTCATTCCCCCCAGCCACATCAGCTGACCCCACTGCCAGGACATCATCCCTTCCCCCAGCCATGTCAGCTGGCCCCACTTCCAGGTCACTAACCTATCCCATAGCTGTGTCAGCTGACCCCACTTCTAGGTCACTAATTCATCACATAGCTGGGTCGGCTGACCCCACTTCTAGGACACTAATCTATCCCATAGCTGTGTCAGCTGACCCCACTTCCAGGACACTAACCTATCCCATAGCTGCATCGGCCAACCCCACTTCTAGGACACTAATTCATCCCATAGCTGTGTCAGCCAACCCCACTTCCAGGACACTAACCTATCCCATAGCTGCATCGGCTGACCCCACTTCTAGGACACTAATCTATCTCATAGCTGTGTTGGCTGACCCCACTTCTAGGGCACTAATTCATCCCATAGCTGTGTCGGCCGACCCCACTTCCAGGACACTAACCTATCCCATAGCTGCATCAGCTGACCCCACTTCTAGGGCACTAATTCATCCCATAGCTGTGTCGGCCGACCCCACTTCCAGGACACTAACCTATCCCATAGCTGCATTGGCTGACCCCACTTCTAGGACACTAATCTATCTCATAGCTGTGTCGGCTGACCCCACTTCTAGGACACTAATTCATCCCATAGCTGTGTCAGCCGACCCCACTTCCAGGACACTAATTCATCCCATAGCTGCATCAGCTGACCTCACTTTCAGGTCATCAATCCATCCTATAGTCATGTCAGCTGACCCCACTTCCAGGGAAGTTGATCCATCATCCTGTGACATAGGCCAACCCCACCTTCACAGTCCAGCCTACCCAACCCTAGGGACCACCAGCCAATGTCAGTTAGTCCCAGTTTCAGGACAAAATGTACATGTCGGATGACCCACTTTTAGGACTACAAGTGACTGAATCATGTGTTACATTAGTTATGACTAAATGCAATAACCCCTAGCCCTAGCCCTAAACCATGAGTGTGTGAAATAAGGTACTTACTCTTGGCTTTCCATTGGTCCATGAATCAAGTGATTTGGATAGGAATTGATAGAATAGCAGCCATTTGAAAAATGACATGTCATGTGGACAGTTTTTTGACTTAAAGTTTTGATTATATATATTGACCCTGGTACACTGTTATATTGTTAAATCCATCCATCAAGGGTTCTATTATGTTACCTTTATGTAATGAGTATGATCCAACATATATAAACCCCACCACCCTCTGCTCATTTCCTCATCATCACCATGAAGTCCATTTCCACCTCTCAAAGACAAAACATCATCTCTCTTGCCTCTCTTGGCCTGTCCACTAGGAAGATTGCCTCACAGACTGGTCTAGGGAACTCTACAGTAACCCAGGTTCTTCAGGAAATCCAACCAGAGAGGTCTAGGCTTCATGGTGGTCACCCTTCCAAGCTTTCCTCTACCAACAAGAGAGCTATTATTTAGCAAATCCTTACTGGCAAGGCCAAAAATGCTGTTCAAGCCACTCATTTCATCAACTCAATTGTTGATAGTCCTGTTTCCTCTCAGACAGTGAGGAATACTCTCAAAGAAGCCTCATTGAAGGCTGTGGTGAAGAAGAAGAAGCCATTGCTTTCTACTGGTCACAAGAAGAAGAGGTTAGCCTTTGCTCTTGAGTATCAGCATTGGACTATGGAGGACTGGAAATGAATTATATGGTCAAATGAGACCAAAATCAACAGGATTGGGCCAGATGGACAAGAGTATGTGTGGAAAAAGAAGGGTGAAGGGCTTATTTCCAGAGAGGTCAAAGGTACAGTCAAGTTTGGAGGAGGTTCACTCATGGTTTGGGATGTATAGGGTGGAATGGTGTTGGGGTCTTGAGTGAGGTTGAGGGGAAGGATGGATGCTCAACAGTATGTGGCCATTTTGCAGGAAGGGCTGCTTCAAAGCATGGGGGAATCTGGAATTCCAGAAGATGACATTATCTTTCAACAAGATAATGACCCCAAGCATACCTCTAGAAGAGTCCAGAAATGGCTTGAAGAGCAGGATATCAAGCTTCTAGACTGGCCTGCACAATCTCCAGACCTCAAGCCAATTGAACTCACTTGGAATCACCTTAAAAGATCTCTCTCAGGTTATGAGAGTGCTCCTACAGGAGTTCATCAATTATGGGAAAGGGTGGTAGTGGAGTGGGGGAAGATTTCTGTGGAAGAGTGTCAAAATGGATAGAAAGCATGCATAGAAGGGTTGAAGCAGTTATCAAGGCTAAAGGAGCTCATGCCAAGTACTAGATAGTTGGATTTTTATAAAGTCAAAAAACTGTCTGCATGACATGTCATATTCAAATGGTTTTTATTCTATCAATTCCTATCCAAATCACTTAATTCTTGGACCCATAGAAAGCCAAGAGTAAGTACTTTATTTCATACACTTATGGTTTAGGGCTAGGGTTAGGGGTTATTGCATTTAGTCATAACTAGTGTAAAACATGCAAACATGCAGACAGTTTTTTGAGCCACTGTATATTAGTATGTAATGAAGGTATGAGTTCTATGCTATGTCTGTTATGCCATGGTCAGGGGTGTTTCCTTTTTTGTCAGTTGCTGACTTTCATTGTGGTCATGTGTGTCATGTGCCTCATTGTGACTTTCATGTGGACAGTGGTCCTTGGACTCCTGTACCTTGAAGGTGACCTTGACCCATTTGTAGAATATATACTACAGGACTATTAGCTGAGTGTAAAGACAGGATGTGGAAAGTGCTCACCTCAGTTGGGTTAAGTAGCCAACTGAGGTGTGAGTATGCTACTCAAGTGCAAAAATGAATGTGATTATGTAATATGGCTAAATGCATACCATAATACTAAGTGAGATGCAGATGAAAGTATAATGTGAAAGACAGAATATACAACACTGTTGCCTGGCAACCCATTGATCATCAATGCCACCACCTTGTTAAAGTGACTAGTATGGACTCCTTTTCTATTTGACTGATTCTTGTATTTCATATGTTTCATCCTTGACAGTCACAATGACTAGACACCATGCTGCACTCTGATGGCACAGCCTGCATCCCTCATTTCCATGCCCATCCCCATCACTGACTCTTTGTGACTCCTTTCTATTTCACCTGTTTATACTGTGGATTACTGATTGCTTATGGATACAACTGGTATGGTACTCTCTCCAGGATGTATTTAAGTTAGACCTACCATACCATGTATCCTCAGTTTTTCACTACTTTGCAACTCAGCTTTTCTTGATCTCTCCTCACTTCCCTTGTCATGATTCCAACAGAACTTGCTAAACCCAAGGGGAGACTCTGCTGGAGTCATCACAGAATCTGAGCCATAGGGGTTATGACAAGTTCAGCCTGCTAAGTTCATCTGAGACACTCATGACTAGTCCATTTGATGAAGTCACTTGTTTTGGAGCATAACAATGTCAGTACCAAGTAAATGAGTGGAAATATAGCTATGCTCACCTCAGTGCACAAAGTAGTCACTGAGGTGGAAAATAGTGGTGCAGAAAATTTATAGTACCATAATTACTAAGCACAGTGACATCAAAATTTAATTCTGAAGGTTGGGAGAAATGCTGAGCCCTCTGTGCAAAACTCCAAGACACTACTGTAACTCCAAAATGCATACTTGACAATGTCAAGGTTTGTGTGTGCCATAACATTTGTACAGAAGTAGTGGTGATTAGGTGAAGTGCACCATAAGAGGTACCCTTAGGTGGGTGACTGAAGTGCTGTCATAGCTGTAGCTATGATTGACTTTACCATTGAAATCTCAGAGCCCTTGAGAGCAAATCTTATCTTATCTATACCTCAGCAATGATGGCTTGGGTCTCAGAGTACAGTCAGAGTCTCAAATCTATCACCATTATATAATTCTATAGCCTTTCCATAGCCTGTCCACAGCCTGTCCATAGCCCATCCATAACCCATCCATAGCCATTCCAGCACTACTGTGAGCACCACTATTATCTATAGTTCAGACAAAAGATCCCCCAATCGCATGTTGTAAAACAGTACATGATAATACAAATTAACTGATATTCAAAGATCATCACGTCCTGGACCGCGTCGTCGCTCTCGTAGTCCTGGTTTTCGCACCCCCAGTCTTAGGACCACCACCCTCCTCCTTCTCCCCCTCCTTCGACTTCGCGCCTGCCGTAGTACCCCGTCTCGTGTGAGTAGCCATAGTTGCCGTCTTAACAATCGTCGCGTTTCCAGACGTATCCTGACCGCTAGACGTACTCTCGTCCTCTTTCGACGGCGTATTCTCTTTATCCACAACTTCGGAGCTCACTTCCGGAACAGCTTTCGTAGTCGCCGCCGAACCCGCTTTCTTCCTCGTCGTAGACGTTCCAGCCTTGGTAGCGCCCGTAGCGAGGGGTTTAACTGTCGACGGTGTCGGCGCTCGCCTAGTGCGACCCGCTGGACCAGCAACGCCACATTCCGCCTCATCCCGTTTCGCCTTCATGGTCGCCATAGTTGTACGCGTCCTTCTTCTCGAGCCAGGTCCGCCTTCTTCAACAGCATGACCTATCGTATCGAGTGGGTCGTTGTCATCCTCGTCAGCTGGTTGAGCAGTCTCACTGGGCGTTGATCTGCCCGACCTCGATC